CCACCGAGCTTCGAACCAATGCGACCCAAGCCAGCTCATCACATCACCTATGACCAGAGGCAACTATATATAAGGCTGTTCGAGCCCGGCACGGAGTTGAAAGAAGGCAGAGAAGGCAAGCCTGTGTGTTTCGACTGCGGCCCTCCCGGCCACGTTAGACGGCAATGTCCCGGGCTGGATTGTTCTTGGGTAGGCCAAAATAATGAACCGATTAAAGTAATAGGGTCAGAAAAGGAAGGTTGGGAGGTAATAGTTTTTGCAAACGGGCATGAGAAAAGAGCATTAATAGATACGGGATGTAGCAAAACATTGGTACGCCATTTGGAGGGAACTACATTAGCAGTAACTGTGAGATGCATCCATGGGGATTCAAAAAAATATACGACTGTGTGGGCTGATGTACGAATTGGAAATGATTGTTGGAGAATGAAAGTAGGCATAGCGCCGGGACTATCAAGGGAAATGTTACTAGGACGTGATTGGGAAGGGGCAAGTGAATTGTTAAAGAGCAAGGAATGTTTAACCAGAGATTGTAAACTAAGTCAAATCGAGACTGACTTTGGGAAGGAAGCCTCTAGGGAGCAAACGAGGCTTTGGCAACAAGATGATCCTACGTTGCAAAAGGTATTGAAAGAAGCACAACCTACTGGGTCTATTGTTCAGGGGACCGAAGGATTTGAAATGGAGGGAGGGTTATTGTACCATGTAAATAGGGAAGGTGAGAAACAATTGGTGGTGCCGATGAAATGGGGAAAAGACATGTTGAAGATAGCTCATGACGTTCCTACAGCGGGTCACTTGGCTACCGAAAAGATGGTGGCACGGGTATCTCAGAGATTTTGGTGGCCTGGGATGCAAGGGGAGATACAACAATTTTGCAAAACTTGTAAAGAATGTCAGATGACACAACTGAAACCTAGACCAGGAGCCCCTCTAGTGCCCATGCCTTTAGTAGACCATCCCTTCGATAGGATAGGAATTGATATAGTAGGACCCCTTACGAAATCAGCGGGAGGACACACTCACATTCTGGTGTTAATTGCTTATGCAATGAGGTACCCTGAAGCCATACCTTTGAGGTCAACAACAGCAAAAGTAATTGCAAGAGAATTAATGCATGTGTTTACCCGATTGGGATTTCCTAAAGAAATATTAACAGATCAAGGTAGTAATTTTATGAGCCTAACCTTAAAGGAAATGTGGAAAATGTTAGATGTAGACCCGATACACACTTCCGTCTATCATCCTCAGACTAACGGGTTAGTAGAGAGATTTAATAAAACTCTGAAAGGAATGCTACGAAAACTAGTAATGGAAAAACCTCGCAGATGGCATTTATTAGTGGCACCTCTCATGTTTGCAGTTAGGGAAGTACCGCAAGCTTCCACAGGCTTCTCTCCATTTGAAATGATGGTTGAAACCCCCAAGGGATTTTAGATTTAATAAAAGAAAAGTGGGAGAGTGGGTCAGATAATTCCCAACTCACGGTAAAACATGTTCTCGAAATGAGAGAACATTTAAAAAGGGTTGCCGAAATAGCGAAAGAACATTTAGGACAAGCACAAGCCGGGCAAAAGAGAAGATATGACTTGAGAGTTTCACCAAGATCGTTTCAAGTAGGTCAAAAAGTGTTGTTATTGTTGCCTGCTGAGAATGCCAAGTTGTTTGTGCGATGGCAAGGGCCATATGAAATAATTAGGCAGGTAGGGAAAGTGGATTATGAGATTAAAACTCCAGATAAGAAAAAAAAACTGGAATTTACCATGTGAACCTCCTAAAAGAATGGCATGAAAGAGAGGTTCTATGGGGAGAGAGTATAGAAGAAGACTTGGGACCCGAATCTTCTGTATATAAAAATGATCAAACAGAAATCCCTTTGGGGGAATGTTTTAGTGATCAGCAAACAAGACAAATAAGGCAAATTGAAAAGGAATTCAGAGATGTGTTTTCCCCTAAACCGAGCAACACTCAAATAGTCAAACATTGTATTAATACCAAAGATGGGGTAGTGATACGTAGTGGAAGTAGGAGTTGGCCTTATCATATGAAAGAAGTAATCAATAAAGAAGTAGAAGAAATGTTAAAATTAGGAATAATTGAACCGTCCCACAGCCCCTGGAGAAGCTACCCTGTGGTAGTACCGAAACCAGATGAGAAGATTCGGTTATGTATTGATTTTAGGAAAGTAAATGAAATATCAAAGTTCAACGCTTACCCCATGCCTCGCATAGAAGATTTGTTAGAGAGATTAGGAGGCGCAATATATCTCAGCTCACTAGATCTAACTAAAGGTTACTGGCAAATCCCTTAAAAAGCTGAGGATAAAGAAAAAACGGCTTTCGTTACCCCAAAGGTGTTGTTCCAATTCCAAAAAATGCCATTTGGATTGCATGGGGCAGGAGCCACCTTTCAACGGCTAATGGATAAAGTGTTAGAACCAGTCGATGAATTTGCGGGGGCTTATATTGATGACATTCTTATTTTCAGCCACACCTGGGACAAACATGTAAATCATATAAAGTCAGTATTAAAAGAATTAAGAAAGGCTGGACTAACCGTAAACCCCTCTAAATGTAAGATAGCTCAACAAAGGGTAAAATTTTTAGGTCATATAGTAAGTAAAGGGGAGATACAGCCTTCTGAAGAGAAAATTGATAAATTATCTGATTGGCATACATCGAAGACCAAGAAAGAAGTACAACAATTTTTAGGTTTGGCGGGATATTATAGGCAATTTGTACCTAATTTTTCCGGAATTGCAGCTCCCTTAACTGATCTTACTAAAAAGAAAGTAAATAAATATGTAAAATGGGGAGAGAAAGAACAAGAAGCTTTTGATAAGTTACGATCTATTTTAAATGAATCACCCAAGAGATATGCACCGGATTTCTCCCTACTTTTTATTGTACAAACAGATGCATCTCATAGGGGGATAGGAGCAGTCTTGGCCCAAGAGAGGCAAGGGATAGAATATCCTATTATGTATTTAAGTAAAAAACTAAGCCCGAGAGAACAAAAATATGCAACAATCGAAAAGGAGGCATTAGCAGCTAAATGGGCTATTACAACATTAAAATATTATTTATTAGGAGCGCCCTTTACATTAGTAACCGATCATGCTCCATTGTGTTTAGTCGTTTAGTCGTGTCCGACTCTTCGTGACCCCATGGACCAGAGCACGCCAGGCCCTCCTGTCTTCTACTGCCTCACGGAGTTGTGTCAGGTTCATGTTGGTTGCTTCGCAGACACTGTCCAGCCATCTCATCCTCGGTCGTCCCCTTCTCCTCTTGCCGTCACACCTTCCTAACATCAGGGTTTTTTCCAAGGACTCTTTTCTTCTCATGAGATGGCCAAAGTACTGGAGCCTCAGCTTCAGGATCTGTCCTTCCAGTGAGCCCTCAGGGTTGATTTCCTTTAGAACTGATAGGTTTGT